GTGTGCTCTTCCGATCTACATATTTGTCGATGAATATCAAGTAACTTTAACTGAATACAGATTAAGAATTCGTCGCTAAAATTAACTAACTTAAAACAGTAATGCAGTATAAATAAAATTAAAAACTATAATAAAATATTGATATACATTTACAATGTTAATTGTATTAAATCTTGGGTGTTTTTTCTTTCATTAATATAGTATATATATTGCATCCATAATATTCTCTTCCTTATTTATTTTTTACGTCTCATACGGATTGCAGCTTTGCCAATTATTTTTTATGTTTTATAATAATAAGCATATACGCAACGCTCTTAGATTTAAAAACAACTAATCGACTATTATTATTATGTAGAATTGTTTTTCTCGCCGAACTGAGTTTTAAGAACTACATGTGAAAGGTTTTCTTGAGTAATTCTCTTCTTTTTTTTTGCAGTTAATATCTTCTTGAGAGAAGAATTGACTCTATATTCGACTAAGACTTTTCTTTTCTATCATTCAAATTTTTCTAGACATATGCAGAAAAATGCAACAACATAGTGAGAATTAACTCACGTATGTTATCGTAATCCATCACAAGCTATAAATAAAACTTTATCGAACCAATTCAGAAATTTGCAATCTCACCTGCAATAAGATTATTCTTATCTGTTAAGAAAACACATGTGCACATCAACAGATTATATAAACAGAGAAAGTTATTAATATGCTCCTCATTCGTCCAGTGGAAGTCAATCGCTCATCATGGACAGCAACAAAGTCGAAATATGCGTACAGGAAGGAAAGTTAATTGGTGTCGTAGACAAAAGTGTTTACGGCGACAACTATATCGCCTTTCGAGGAATACCATATGCGAAACCTCCAATTGGAGAACTCAGATTCAAAGTAAGAAAACATAAAGTTCAATTATCGTATATGCCCCTTTTTATTGGGTGATTAACTTCAGCTTTAGTTAAATCATTTATCGCGCATAAGAAAATCAGAAAAAAATAAAAATAAGCTCTTTTAAAAAATTACGATTAGACGATAAAATGATTACTAAAACTCTATTAATTTGTCAGTTGAAAAATTCTTATCAATTAGATTACAAAATAATTGTATAATCTGTTTTCGTTTATTATAGTGTAATTTTATGTAATTTGTCCTTTTTTATTTATATATTACTATATAACTTCATGTAATCTGCTTTTTTTACAGAGATATATGTATATATGTATAATGATTATATAATTGAGTATATAATTATATGTATATATATATATATATAATTATATAAATATATATATATATAAAGTAACAATAAATAAAAGTAACAATAAAATAAATGTTTCGATTAGCAATACTAAAAAAAATTCTGAAAAAAATATCAAGCGCAATTATTCAAAAAAATAGTTGATTTTAAACGATTTATCTGTATACATAAATTATGCTTCCAATTTGTTAAATAATATAAATCAGTAATTAAGTTTAGAGGTATTCATTACAAAAAAAATAATAACATAGCGTAGAAATCAAATTCATGCGGAACTTAGATCGTTAGTTAACTTTTAATTGCTTTCGTTATAAATACAAATATTTAATATTTATTTCCTACAATATAGTAAGTCAGAAAGGAGATTTGATTTACATTAAATGTAACCAAGTCATCCATCCATTCCTTCACTAAAAATTCTTCCTACTCTATATACGTATCTTTTCTAATAATATTTTATTTAGCTATTAGTTAGCTTAATTTTTACTTAGTAACCTTAGCTCTTCACTCCTTTATTTTTCGGTCTTACATTTATACGTTTATACATTTTTAACTTTTATAATTTCATATATTTAATAACTCTCATTTAAAAATTATTCGAAACCAATATTGAGTAATATTGAATAAGAAAAAGTTCTTATTCTTTTTGGTACAAAGAATCATATCTTGAATATATAAAACTTTTAGGACCCGGAACCAGCGGAACCATGGACTGGTAAGAGAGATGCCTCGAAACACGGAAACATCTCCGTTCAAATGAATATTTTCACACGCGAAATGGAAGGCGATGAAGATTGTCTCTATTTAAATGTGTACACCACAAAAATCAAACCTTCGAAAAAGCGTGCGGTAATGGTGTGGATACACGGCGGTGGTTTCTTTTATGGTTCCGGTGATGAACTCATCTACGGTCCCGATTACATTGTACCGAAAGATGTAGTTTTGGTTACCTTGAATTATAGACTAGGTGTTCTA